GCTTCAGGTCTATTTTTTATGCACTATTTTTCCAGAAAGCATGAAGCTCAGCAGTTCAGATGGGGCCAGGCAGGAAGTCAAACATGTGAGCAGTGTAAAACATCCAGTAACTTTCAAAATAAAAGACAAGTTCAAATTCCCTAACTAGTTGCCTAACTAGAAAAAATTGCATTAAAGCTCCGGTTATGAGGTGGACACTTTACTTCTCCGCCAACGTCACACGTGGCGACGGCAGTGGAGGACTAAAGTCTCTTTCCGGAGTATTTCTCTTATCCGATGCCGCCATCTAGTGGCTGACAAGCATATCACACAAATAGTTTCTCCTGCTTTTTAAGATGGCGACTTCACGTTTCTTGTTTATTTATGTCCTTCTGTAGCCGACAAACAGAGCTAAAACACGTTGTTTTACAAATATTATTCTCATGTTGTGTTCTCATAAATTTAAATTGAAGAGACTTACTTGTCCGTGAAAAGTTTAGAAACTCGGCATCAGCTGAGGTACTTCCGTAAATTTGAAGCATCTAAGCGATACTCTAACACTATTGGTTAGTTCTGGTCGGCGCTCAGTTTCTTATTGCACGGAGCTCTGTGGGGCAGGGGGTGTGCTTAGCAAAAAATAAATAAAAAATAAGACGTATTGCTTACATTTGATCATAGTACACGATGAAATAATCACTTTTACTGATTTCTGAAAGGGGAAAACTCCGGAAAGCTACTTAAATTCCTGTCCTCCTGGAGGAGGTGTCTGAGAGGAGAATGCTAAAAACGCTTCTCTCTATCATGGACAACCCCTCCCACCCCGTGCACGCCCACATGATGGACCATCGAAGCACACGCAGCAAAAGACTCATTGCTCCGAAATGCAGAACTGACCGCCACAGGAAATCCTTTGTACCGGTGGCAATAGGATTGTTTAACTCTTCCTCACCCTGTAGGTGATTCTCCTAATACTGTTACCTAGGTTACTCTGTGCTCTCTACTCTGTTACCCTCACCGACTGTGCAATATTACCCAAGAGTTCTGATTGTAAATATGTTTTTATCCCCCCATCATATCATCTGCTGCTACAAACCCATATTCTTTTACACAATACTTTAATCACTTTTGTGAATCGCCTGCACCGACGGCTTAATTACTTATTCACAAGGATGCAGTCATGTATTTAATTATTGAGATATGCGATTGTTTGTTTTGCACTGTCCTACATGGTACTACTGTAGATCATTTTTTTATGTATTTATTGTATATCATATTTCTATTTCACCTGTTCCTTTGTCTCTCCGACTGCTTTGAGCATGTACATGACACAAGAATTTCCCTCGGGATAAATAAAGTTGTTCTTATCTTATCTTATCTTATCTTATCTTACCTTATCTTATCTTATCTTATCTTATCTTATCTTATCTTATCTTATCTTAAAATACCTCCCCCATAACTGGAGGGTTGCAGGTTTGCGTCCCGCTCGGTCTGTTACAGTTGTTGTGTCCTTGGGCAAGACCCTTCACTCACCTTACCTGCTGGTGGTGGTGAGAGAGACCGGTGGCGCCAGGGTTCGGCCGCTTCCGTCAGTGTGAACCAGGACAGCTGGGGCTGCAATGTAGCTCATCACCACCAGTATGTGTGTGTGTGTGTGTGTGTGTGTGTGTGTGTGTGTGTGTGTGTGTGTGTGTGTGTTGCTTAGGTATCCAATATGGCTACTTCTTGCATAAAGTGGTGATGATTGTGGTTTAAAAAAAAACATTGTTAGGTTGTCTAACATTCATTCGTTATATTTCCAGATCCAAGTTCCAACTTTAGACATTAATGGAACAAATGTCAAAATTCCCATGAGTCATTGCAGCATAAATTATCTGCTTACTGTTTTTTTTTGTCTTGTTTTTTACGTGGCAGTGGCAGGTACTACAAAGCGTTGTCGTTTACATACTGTTGCTTTTAAACTGGCAGCTAAATGCATGATAAATGTTTCTGAGGGACATTCTGCCTGTGTGGGGCGGGGTTGTGAAAAGCTGAAATCCCTTGTGCTCTGCTACATGCAGTGTGAAATGTTATGGTAGTAATCAATTTGCTGTATAATGGTGTTATATTTGGATAAGTGAGAATAATATGCAGAGAAAAGAAGACAGTTACATTCTTTTAGAATTAATAATATAAAGGTTATTTTTAAATAAACATCGAAAAATAAAGATTTTGTGCCTTTCTGTTTGAGTGAGAAATCCACATCCAGTCATTTCATCATTCCCAAATACAAAGAAAACATTCCTATATGACTAATTTTCTCGACACTCTGTTCCCTGGACCATTTTTTGGTGGCACCATCTGGCGATTTTTAACAAAACCCTCATGTGGAACAATGACTGGAATTACCTCCTGTGTTATCAATCCTAATAACCAACATGGGAGAACATGGCCATATGGAGCAGCTGTTCCTGAAGATGGCATCAATGCTCTTGTTTCTGAACTCAGAACATCGCTGTTAGACTTCAGCAAGATGCTAACAGAAATTTTCTTTAGTGTAGCTGCTTGGGCTATGGAACCAGGCATCTGTGAAGCATGTCCTCCACAGTCAGCACAATATTATCAGGGAATAGCAGTATTCAATTAGCGTGCTGGTGTTTTACTCCACCAGCAACATTGATTTTCCCCTCTGTGGTATTGTTATGAGTCCTCATTCCCATTGTTGGGTGTTTTAAAGGTGTTGCACATGTGTAAATGTCTCCTGTTGAATGCCTCGCCTGGCTTTAAAGCTGATGGCTCCTGTGTATGAAAGACAAACAGTGACATTGGCATTTTTATTATGTGAAGTATTTAGTTTGATTTTTTTTTACTTAAAATACACCAGCAACAATTTCATCTATACAAATTTAATGACAGAATTTCATCAGCAAAATGTCAACAACAAATGAGGTGATCTCCTGGTGACCCAAGCCAAAGTAATCGACACTCGATCATGTTGAGAGGCTTTTACCCAATAAAATGACATTTCTCTGAACAAGTGACACCGGTGAGGTGTAGACTCGACTTGAGTGACGATTGCTTTGGCTTGTGTCACCTAAAGGTCACCTCATCTGTTGTAGAATTTTTGCTGTTGAATTTCTGAAGTAGAATTTAGAAGTTATATTCTTGCTGTTGAAATTCAGAAATGTGACTGTAGAAGTTGAATGTTTTAGGTAGAATTTCTTATGTAGAATGTTTTTTATTACAGTTCTCGATTTTCTTATCTAGAATTGTTGCTGTTGAAATTTTGAAGTAGAATTTCTGAAAATAAATTTTTGCTCTTGAATTTCTGAAGTAGAATTTTTCTAAGTAAAAATTCTTATGTAGAATTTGTGAAGTAGAATTTTGGCTGTAGAATTTCTTATGTTGAAATTTAGCTGTAAAATTTTTGCAGTTGAACTTCTGAAGTACAATATTCGAAGTAGAATTGCTTTTGTTGCATTTTAGAAGTATAATTTTAGAAGCTGAAAATTGAAAGTGAATTTTCTGAATTTAAATTTTAGAAGTAGAAATTTTAAGGTAGAAATTCTTATGTAGAATTTTTGAATTAGAGTTTCTGAAGTTGAAAGTTTACTGTTGAATTTTTAAGTTTAATTTCTTTTGTAGAATTTCTGACGCAGAATTTTTGCTGTTGAATTCCTGAAGATGGAATTCTCCAAAAGAATTTTTACCAATAATTATAAATTTTTTATTTTTATATTTTTGCTGGTGTATTTAAAGGGACTTTTCGGCATTTTGAATTTTTATGCTCGCGATTGCCCCCTCAGGCCAAAAGCGTAACGGCAGCTTCAATAGTAGGCTCGTGCACGAGGTGCACATGCTGTACGTGCACACTCCTTAACGAAAATAACAGCTGAGACAGTCCCTTGTGTGTGTGTGTGTGTGTGGGGGGGGGGGGGGGGGACGACAGAGGACAGGAGAATGTGCAGCTAATTAATTAAATAATTTGGTTCTGTACCTTTCTCTTCAGCACAGCCGACAAAGGTTTAAGATGGGTCAGTCCTCCTGCATGCTCAGATCATTCCCTTCCCTTGCTTGAAAAATTGTTCCAAAATGAAAGTTGAACCCACATCTTTTTTATCTGTGAATTCAATGCCGTTCGGCGAGTCTCAAATAAAAATTTGGGCATCTTACTGTAAAAAAATATATCATTAATGTAAAAAAGAAACTCTAAATAAATTAAGCTGACATCTGGAATCAAACCCAGGTCTCCTACATGAGAGTCCAACATTTAACTAGGTGAGCTAAAGCGCCACTGATATACTTAACATCTGTAACATTTATATGCTTGATGATAGCTGAAACAACGTTCAAAAAACGGTTTGGAGTGAAAATGGCTATTTTGTTTCTAATTTGCAGGAAATATCTAGAAGAAAGTTCTACAGAAAGTAGCTAAGGGTCCTCAGAAATGTAGCTAGCTTTGTCACTAGGCGTTAGGAACAGCGACAAAGAATAAAGCTACAGATAGCAAATGCAACGGGCTGTGCCTGAGCGTGAATGCGCAAGAAGCAGCCTGCTCGACCCGAGCAACTCTCCTTTTCTGTGATTTTACAGAAAAATAGGCAATCACAGTAAAAATGCCAGGGCTCATTCTACAGGACCAGGGCATTGAAGGAGAATGTATGAAGAAGAAATTTATTATTTCTATACATGTTTTGGCTGTCAAACTTCCATAATGCCCCTTTAAGTAAAAACATTCAAATACACAATTTGACAGAATAAAATTTTAATGTGTAAAAAAACAATTTCTGGTGAGACTATTTCTTCCATACCTGCTGAACTGGAGGGCATCTGCCAGAAAAGGGTTAACACGGGAATGGCTCTGCCCTCAATGTGTCACCACTCCTACTGACAGTATTGATGACTTATGAAACTGCGTGGATCCCACGGACACTTTGAACCGCCGCTGTTGCCACAAGTTTAGGGCGGAATGGATTACACCGTCCCCCCCCCCCCCCCCCCCCCCCCCCCCCCACCATGTGATGTGAAAAGACTCAACAGTGGAGAACTCCAGAAATTATTCAATCGATATTGAATATTTGCTACAGAAAGATTACGTGTGATTTTTTTAAACGAATGAACCTTAGAATAAAGTGCAGAATCAACGCTTTTGCATTTACGTGCGTGTTTTTTTTATTTAAAGTCACACAGCTGCAAGATGTCTGGTTTAATTATTTTACTTTCAAAATGTCCTCCTGCTCACCCGTAAGAATTGCTTCGCGGGAGTCACAGTGCGCGCTGATTGGACTTCCCGCGCCGACCCACCGCTGAGCTCCGCTTTAGAGCACCTCCGAGCTTTTGTGCCGAGATCAAAGGCAGATTCAGGGAGGTCACAGTGGAGAAAAGGCGGCGGAGAAATGGGAGGAAATCTGTCTTTGCACGCGTCTTGTGGGATGAAGAGGAGCAGGTAAGAAGAGAAAGGACACAGGAACGCGCCTGTCTCCGTCCTCACGAGGATTTATCCGTCCACCGTTCAGGATGTGTGTCTCACCGGGGGCTTCTGGGTGAGATTTCGCCACAGTGCCGCCTCGCTGCGCGCAGCTCCATCAGCGTCGTGGTCCGGCGCGCGGACAGGACGTGACAAATCGGTGAAGAATGTGCTTCGCCGTTCGTCCCTGACCCTGGGGACACCTGGAGAATATGGAATAAATCTCTTAAACAATTCCCATCCCTTCCCCCAGCGGGAGGTGGATGGACTTTTGCGTAAAGATGTGTGAACAAGAGACTCGGTGTAACTTCATACGTCACACGTGATCACCACAGCAACTAATTGTCTCCGTTAAGGAGCGGACTTTACCTGCGTGCTCGTGGAACTTGGAAAGAGGAAGAGGTGCGCGTCATGTTAGGTCTTGGACACACCGGTACCGACTGTACCTGCGGGACATAGAACATCAGCTGGGACTCTGAGGGGCAGCTGTGAGCTGAGCGGGCCAGTGATGCCTGACACGTTAGCGCTGATCAAGAACCGGACAGAGCCGCGGCTGGGGCAGCTGGAACGCAGCCTGGCCACGGAGGCGACCGCCCGCCCCGCCTGGGTCATTGCCATCCTGGCCAGCGTTCTGATCTTCACCACGGTGGTAGATGTGCTGGGGAACCTGCTGGTCATCATCTCGGTGTTCAGGAACCGCAAACTGAGGAACGCAGGTGAGATGTAGTGATGATATGCAAAGGTCACCTAAAGGTAACTGATGCTGATGCAGTTGGTGGCCATGCATGATGACCGGATGAATTCTAATCAGTCAACTCATTTTTGTGGATTTCGTGCTTTTTATTATTAAACATCAGAGCAGTTTCCTTCTAAAGGCTTGTCAGCATAACACTGGAAAAATCATCCTTTTAATGTTATTACATAAAACTGAATTCTGCATAATTTTTGTGGATTTCGTGTTTTTTATTCGAAATCAGAGCCGTTTGCTCCCTTTTGTAACGTCTTTTTCAGCAAAATAACTCATTTTTTTTCATTAGTTTTATTTAGAAGTAGATTGTTCACAATACTTGTTGGTCAATGCAAGAATAAAAATAAACATTTAAAAAATGTTAAGTTTTTTTTATTACAACTTTTTGGTTCAAATTTTGGGTTCAAAGTTCCAAAATTTACATAGAAATGATGAAAACGATAAAAAGTAAATCCACATTTTTTAAATTTCTTCTTTTTTTCTGTGAAATTTAAGCAATTTCTACATTTTTCTGTACGTAATTGAATATTTAGGATTTAGTCTTTTAAATTGTTGCTGGGGTATAAAACATGCTTCTTTTGTTTAAAACATAAGCAAGAAGAATGCTTTGGTCAGGCCAACTTTGCACTTCTGCTGCACCAAGAGAAAATAAATAAACAAACAACATTCTAATCAAGATCATAAAAAGCTATTGTCTCACGTTTTTCAACCCAAAAATCTGACATTTTGCAACCATGACATCACTTATCGCCTCATAAGTCTTTCTATCCATCTGCACAGCAAGCTTTATTACGCAGCAGCTGACAAAATGATGTAAATCAATAAACAATTCACAACTGCCTGATTTAAACAAGATGCACAGGTGCTAATGGACTCAGTGACACAATTTAAATGAGGAATAATGCGCTGAGCTCAATCCTGTCCACTTATTGGCACAACTTCAGCTGCCGCTGGTGCACCTCTCTCCCTGAGTCACTTGCTCTTCACTGATGATGTCCGCATGTCACCTGAGTCATGCATTTAGGCTTAAAATGAAGATGCGTGAGCACAAGTGACACTCAGTGGCTGCGATAGTGGACGAGCTGATTTTGAACGTAAAAAAAAAACGAAATTGCAAAGCAGGAGCTCCAGAGAAGTAACAAAAAACAAACACTGATGTGTGGAAGCAGCCGCTCTTTCAGCGAATGTTCACTCTAGGTGAAAATTACGCAGGTGGGGATGCAATTCATGAGTTAAACAAACGCCTTTCAGCTCTTTTCCTTTCCCGAGCAGCAAAAACTCCAGTTCTAGCTGTTTACACTCAAATTGCTGCTTATTAGGATTCTAAAAAAACAAGTTTGTTTAATAATGAAGCAAATCGTTCATGAAACGAGCGTTTTACCCCAACAGCAGTTTTAACAGAAGAACGTAAAATATAAATGAAAGTCCTGAAACTGGTCAACATGGATGTTTCCGACAGCAGAGTGCAAACATTTAGCTGACTGGCTATTTTGTGGTTTATCAAGCAACAGTTGGGTTCAAGAGACATGCATCTATTTGCATATCACACAAATCAGCAACTATTTGCTGTCGAGCGGCAGCCTGGAGTCTTTTGCTTTTATTAATAAATTAGATGAAAAAATCCTCATTTAAGGACATTATGAAGCTTGTCTTTGTGTTTGCTCACAGAGAAAAGCATTTAACTTGGATGTTTTCTTTCAGTCAGATGGGCACGGTGATCGGCGGTGCATTTGAATGTAACCTTGACTCCAGACTCCCACGTAGAGCACTCAAGCATGATTTTGTTTCAAAATAAGGTTTAGGTCGAGTCCCTATGTTCTCTGCTCTGAAATGCCTGAGAGTCTTCATTTTGTTGAAGCTGAATAAAATGGAATTAAAAGTTAATAAGTGTGTATTTGCAAGGCTGACCTCCCTGTTAAGTGTGATTTTTCATTTGAGAAGCACACCAGCTAGGTCTTTTTTTTTTTTATCATGACTGAATTAAATTCCGAGAGACAGATTTGAGATGGTTGCATAAAAGAGATTTCAGATTCAACCTTTTTTTTTCTTCTTGAGTATATCAGACAGAGATGAAATATTCTTAGAGAAATGCAATCCTGAGGTTTGTTCAACAAATGGAACTTTGGTCTTTTTCAGCTGAACTTTGACCTTTTTAACGTAAGCGGCACACGCTTAAGAGAAAAACATGAAGTCAAGTGGCTTCACTCAAGCATCAGCTGTGGAATTCAGAAGTCACTCAGAATGTAAAGCAGAGATTCAGAGTTGTTTCTCTTGGAGGGCACCGCTTAGAGGCAGATGAGTGTATTGCACCTTTAATCCCCTCCCCCTACAGCTGGACACAACGCCTCTCGTTCGTGAACGTGCACTTGTACTTGTGTAAAATGGGCAGCAGCAGCTTAGGAGGGTTGAGCGGGTTGTCCAGTAATCAGAGGGTTGTAGGTTCAATCCCAGCTCCCAGCGGAGAATGCTGCTGTTGTGTCCTCTGGCAAGACAGCCTGGTGGTCGGATGGACTGGCGGCCCAGTGTTCAGCAGCCTCGCTTCTGCCAGTGTGCCCCCAGGGCAGCTGTGGTTACATCATAGCTCATCATCACCAGCATGTGAACGTGTGTGTGAATGGGTGAATGACTGATTGTGTTGTGAAGCACTTTGGGGGGGGGGGGGGGGGGGGGGTTGTAAAACCCTAGAAAGTGCTATACAGATACAGGCCATTTACCATAAAACATACTCGTTCATAAGAAAAATGGCCAACTCTGCAACTGTTAGACATCTGAGCTGACCATGGAGATCCTTCCAACCTTTAGCAGGTCCAAGGTCAAATTTTTGCCAGGCTTTGAGGCACTTTTTGGCAAGTTTAGTCCATGGGCTTTTATTTACATTTGTCCATCTTCAAGTACAAGTAGACAGGTGCGGAAATGGTCCTTGTTGTGGTTGTGAAGCTGGTTGTAGCTTTAACAGCTACAATCGCAGGTTGTTAATCCTAAACAAATCGAAAACTCCAGTAAGTCTTGGTACTTTTGCTAACGCATGCATGCTTGCAAACAAAGTATGTATGGATTTATAAGGCTGTCTGGGATGGGGGTGAACTTAGCAAAAAATAAAGATGTATTGTCTACATTACATCACAGAATGGGATATGACCAACACTTTCACGGATTTCTAAAATGACACATAATTCCTGAAAAGGGGAAAATTCTGGAAACTAGCTTTAAAGAGCAGGAGCCTCATTTATCAAGCTTGCTTACGCACAAAACGGGGTTGGAAAACTGCATAAGCAACTTTTCATGCAAACTTTGGGATTTATGAAAGAAAACTTAGTGGAAAAATGTGCGCAACTGTAAGTTGAATAAGGACCTGGCTTACACACATGTTGGACATGAAGAGCACCTGCAGTGCTGCTGCTGAGAAGGATACAATTATGAAATCCTGCAGCATTATCACTTGTACTGCTTCGTTTTCACACAGAACAAGGCCCCCCACACGCACACACACACACACACACACACACACACACACACACACACACACACACACACAGCTTGAACTGCAGAATGCAGAATATCAGCAGGGGCACAGATTGAGACAGAAAGTCATGCGTCTGTGACAGTGTGTGTCCTGTCACTGTGACCCCATTGATCATACGCCCTGGCTGCTTGGACAGGGGAGATCTCAGTTTGGGTGACTGGTTAACGCGCATGACTTTCACCTGGAAGTCTGGGGATTGAATCCCGATTGGACTATTTTTTATACCCGCCACAGATCTCTGAAGAACTCACAACATTGACGGCTTCAGCAACGCTGTGCCACTCCGTGGATTTTTTCTTATTTGTTTTGCAAAAGCACTTCCTTTCATTTCTCCACCTCACCCACAGGTACCTCAATTTCTGCTTCTGTGAAATTGCACTTCCTTGATCTGCCTTGATCTACGGTCGCCATCGTCACTGGCGGAGCGCTGCAACAGCCGGCTTATGTATATGCATGAGATCTACAAGGCACTTTGCATTGACTATTTATGGCAGTAAGTGGGCGTGGTGAGGGCGGGATGTGACTAAAAAGCAGCTGAGAAACATTCTCGTTAGTCTCCGATTTATGAAGCGGAGATTGCGTGCAGCTGTGCGTAGTCCATGTTTGACCTACTTGGCGGAAATTAATTTTTTTGCTGAGCTTAAGTACGGTTTTAGAAAGGATTCTACACAATGTTTCATAAATGAGACCCCAAGTTTGTGTTATTTGTGGCGAAAAAACATCAACGTTGCAAAGCAAATAGAGTCGGTGATGGTTACATTTCTGTTAACCAATCAGAGGAAAGATGTCCAAATACCAGGAAATAAGACTCCCAACCCTGTCATCTTCTGCTACTTTGTCTTCCGGCTGACTTCTACGTCCTCAGGCACACCGGAGCTCCTTTTTCCCCAGAGAACGATTTACAAGGCATTCGATCCTAGAGGCCACTGCGGATGTATTTAAAATATGAGTATAGTTGATCCTAAAGGATGGCTTGCTTGTGGGTCAAAACAGAGTATAACCAAAGCCAAGTTTTGTTTTTATCTGAATCAAGACTCCAACACCGCCAAAGAACTTAACTGTGATTTCTGCATTCCTGGACACATGGTACATATTTTAATTGCATCCTTTGTTTCAGTAACACCTTACACATCCTCCCATTTGCCTCTTCACAAACAACAAAAGCCAACATATCAATTTTAATGGTGGCTGAATCCTTTCAAATCTAACAGCATCTCCAGTAAGAGTGTCACTGGAATGTAGTTGGCTCTTTTTTTTTCTTGCTCACATTTCTGCCTTAAAGCTAATCTCTCTCAACCCAAACAGCCCACTCAGCAGTTCAGAATCTGCGCTGAACCTGTAGATTGAATCGGCCCACTTAACGGTTTAGATGGAAAAGCACCTGACTTAACAGGAGCGTATTAACAGTCCTAGTGGGATCAGAGGGCGGTTTGTGATTACTCACC